AACACAATTAATAGCAATGGTGCCAGAGTATGGGATTTTGGGATGTATAGTTTTCTGAGATATTATAGGAGCCATGATAGCACAGTGGGTTAAACAACTAGCTGCAGAAAAACATGCTGACCAGAAGGTTAGCAGTTCGAAGCTGCGGGTTGGGGGTGATCTCCTGCTGTTAGCCCTAGCTTATGCCAACCTAGCAGTTCGAAAATATGCAATGTTAGTAGATCAATAGGTACCGCCTTGGCAAGAAGGCAAAAGGCATCCATGCAGCCCTGCCAGCAACTCAACCAGGAAGGTCTATCTTATTATTATTTATTTAGACCATTTCTACCCCGCCCTTCTGGGGGGATTCAGGGCGGCTAACACAGGCAACTATTCAGTGCCAACAGTATCAAAACAACAATATAAAACCGCAATATAAAATCAATTACATAACAATTAAGCAGTGATATTAATTAAAATTACATAACCACATAGAACAGATCACAGAATCACAGGTCATAAAGCCATTTCCAATTTTCAAACAATCCTATTGTCCRAGTTCAGTGCCTAAAGTGCTGTTGTGCCCACTARCCRAAGGCCTGGCTCCAAAACCACGTCTTTAGTTTTTTCCTAAAAGTAAGGAGGGAGGACGCCGATCTAATCTCGCTGGGGAGCGAATTCCATAAGCGGGGGGTCACCACCGAGAAGGCCCTGTCCCTCGTCCCCACCAGACGCGTTCGAGACGCTGGTGGGACCGAGAGCAGGGCCTCCCCAGTAGATTTTAAATTATGAGGTGGAACGTAGAGAGAGATACGTTCGGATAAGTAAACTGGGCCGGAACCATATAGGGCTTTATAGGCCAAGACCAGCACCTTGAATTGTGCTCGGAGGTGGACTGGCAGCCAGTGGAGCTGACATAGCAGGGGGGTGGTGTGCTCCCTGTATGGCGCTCCGGTGAGTAATCTGGCTGCTGCCCGTTGGACTAGTTGAAGTCTCCGTACAGTCTTCAAAGGCAACCCCACGTAGAGTGCGTTGCAGTAATCTATTCGGGATGTAACCAGAGCTTGGACCACTGTGGCCAAGTCCAACTTTCCAAGGTACGGGCGCAACTGGCGCACAAGCTTTAACTGTGCAAAAGCTCCCCTGGCCACAGACAACAGGCTCCTCGACATGAAAAATGAAACAGGAGCACCTCCACATGGTCAGAGTTGAGCATTGCCTCTAGACGCCAGAGATGGAAAGGGAAACCTTTGCCTTTGTTTGTGTATTGCATGTCATTGTTGTTCACTGTATAAAAAGGCATTGGATGTTTGCCTATATATGTGTATACTGTAATCCACTCTGAGTCCCCTCAGGGAGATAGAGCAGAATATAAATGAAGTGCATTATTATTGTTGTGGTTCAGCCAGCTAATGAAGATGAGGGGTTTGGGGGTTTAGGGTCCGATGGTTCTGAGGGTGCCTAGACAGAGGGGGGTCTTAGTGCAAGATGGTTCTCCAGCTGAGAGAACGGAGGAATTTTTGGAGCAAGACAGAGGTCCTCCTGGTCGATCGTAAACCGGATAGGGGTATATGGTGGCAACCTGTGTTGGATGGGGTTACACTCCCCCTGAAGTCACAGGTCCGCAGTTTGGGTGTCCTCCTGGATTCATCACTTACGCTTGAGGCTCAGGCGTCGGCAGTGGCCGGGAGGGCTTTTGCACAATTGAGACTCGTGCGCCAACTGCAACCGTACCTCGTAAAGGCTGATCTGGCCGGGGTGGTCCATGCCTTGGTCACCTCTAGATTGGACTACTGTAATGTGCTCTACATGGGGCTGCCCTTGAAAACGGCTCAGAAATTTCAACTGGTCCAACGGGCGGCAGCCAGGTTATTAACTGGTGCTCCTTACAGAGAGAGGTCAACCCTCCTGTTTAAGGAGCTCCATTGGCTGCCGTTCATCTTCCGGTTCCAATTTAAGGTGCAGGTGCTCACCTACAAAGCCCTAAACAGTTTGGGACCCGCCTACTTGTGTGGCCACATCTCCGTATATGAACCCACATGATCCCTCCATTCATCTGGAGAGGCCCTGCTCACGATCCCACCTGTGTCGCAAGCGCAATTGGTGGGGATGAGGGACAGGGCCTTCTCTGTGGTAGCCCCCCGACTCTGGAACTCTCTCCCCAAGGACATCAGACAAGCCCCAACGTTGGCAGTCTTTAGGAAGAGCTTGAAGACCTGGCTGTTCCAGTGTGCCTTTCCAGAATAGGAAACTCCCAGCATCATGTCCCAAACGCACTTTACCAGAGATTTAAGATTGCCTGCACATCGCACCTACCCTAAAATCCTTACATTTCACCTGTCATGTCCAGCACTTTAATTTATTCATTACATTTGGCCCGGCCCCAGTTTTAAATGTGTCATGATATTTTTTTTTATGTTTTACTGTTATTGCTTTAATGTTTATTAGTTTGCTTTATGAGTTTTATTGTTGTATTTGTTATGCTGTTGTTTTTATTGAGGGCCTTGGCCTTTGTAAGCTGCACCGAATCCTTCGGCAGATGTTAGCGGGGTACAAATAAAGTTAATAATAAATAATAATAATAATAATGTTGTTGTTGACTGAGAGAGTGAAACTGCTTTGAAGGCTGACGGGCTGGGAGGTATATAAATAAAGCGTTGTGGTTGTTGTTGTTGTTGTTATTATGGATCTTGGAACATATCATCCATGGATAAAGGGTAACAAAATGGTAATGAAAACAGTCTTAACCTCTTCCCCTACATTTTGGGGAGACCATTCCTACACAAGACAAAATCACACAGAAGTAACTGAATTGTGCAAATCCTCAATTTACTAATGTGGACTCCAACGAAGAATCTTTTGAGTATGAATCAGTGGTCAACTGGCACTTGGCCGAAGCCCCAGGTAGAGCTTTTTGCATGGAATGATACATTCGGAAGGAAGCCTAAGGTAGACAGCTAATTAGACAGCTAATTCCAGGAGAGACCATTTTTTTCCAATAGGAAATGACCTAGAAGTTGACATCAGGAGGGGGAAAAAGTCTTCTCTTGAAGTCAAGACTGAAGAAACGATCCAAGGTCCAGACTCTCACTTGTGTAGCTCAGTTGTGCCATAGGTTTCTTCTACTCTGGCTTTATATCTCAGGATCTGATCCCAGATTATCTGGCAGTGGAGACTCATATAATCCAGTTCAAATCAGATTAAGGTAAAGGTAAAGGTTCTCCCCTGACATTAAGTCCAGTCATGTCTGACTCTGGGGGTGGTGCTCATCTTCCATTTCTAAGCCGAAGAGCCGGCGTTGTCCATAGGACACCTCCAAGGTCATGGATGACGAGCTGGATCATGATTCTAGTTATGAGACACTAATGAGTTGTTTACGGATTGTGGCGCAGCTGGCTGAGTGTCAGCTGCATTAAGATCACTCTGACCAAAAGGTCATGAGTTCGAAGCCAGCCCGGGTTGGAGTGGGTTTCCAACCAATTGTGTGTAGCCTGTTGTCGACCTTTGCAACCCGAAAGACAGTTGCATCTGTCAAGTAGGAAAATAAGGTACCACCTTAAAGTGTGGGGAGGCTAAATTAACCGATTTATGAGGCCATAAAGAAGACTCCAGCAAAGCATTCCAGCGGGGAAGCATGCGGGGAATGTGGAAGTGCTTCATCAGCGTCGCAAATGGACAATGAAAGCGACAGCTCCCCGGCAGCCAGAAAAAAGTTAAATAGCCTCTGTGTATGTCTGTATATGTTTGTATGTCAAAATTCGCATTGAATGTTTGCCATATATGTGTACATTGTAATCCGCCCTGAGTCCCCTGCGGGGTGAGAAGGGCGGAATATAAAAGCTGTAAATAAGTAAATAATAAATAAATGTGCATGTTTTCGAACTGCTAGGTTGGCAGAAGCTAGGGCTGACAGTGGAAGCTCACACCGCTCCACGGAATCGAACCTGCAACCTTTTGGTCAACAAGCTCAGCAGCTCAGCGCTTTAACCCACTGCACCACCGGGGGCTCCCAAATCAGATAACCTGGGATCAAATCCTGGGATATAGAGCAGTGTAGAACGGGCCACAGTACTTCTAACTGCTAACTTGAATGAACGTCATGGAAGACTGTTCCGTAACTCTGCAACACTCTACTGCCACTCAAGAAAATGATGTCTTTCTAATATCTACTTAGAATAAGGCTTTCCCTACAAAATAATCTTCTTGTTTCACCCTTTCACGTTTCTGTGAATGTTCTTTTTTCAATGGAAGAGAACGGCAATGTCTCTGAGAAGCCAGAAATTGGTCTACAAACCCTTCAATGACATCCAGTCCTGTCACCATCTTTTTTGGGCTGCCCTTAAAAAGACTAAAATGATCAAGGGTCTGGAGAACAAGCCCTATGAGGAGAGGCTCAAGGAGCTGGGCATGTTTAGCCTGAAGAAGAGAAGGCTGAAGGGAGAAATGATAGCCATGTATAAATATGTGAGGGAGGAGGGAGCAAGCTTGTTTTCTGCTTCCCTGGAGACTAGGACGCGGAATAATGGCTTCAAACTACAAGAAAGGAGATTCCATCTGAACATAAGGAAGAACTTCCTAACCGAGAGCCATTCAGTAGTGGAACTCTCTGCCCCGGAGTGTGGTGGAGGCTCCTTCTTTGGAAGCTTTTAAACAGAGGCTGGATGGCCATCTGTCAGGGGTGATTTGAATGCAATATTCCTGCTTCTTGGCAGGGGGTTGGACTGGATGGCCCATGAGGTCTCTTCCAACTCTTTGATTCTATGAGAAGGGAAAGGCCAGTGGTGGCTGCTACTAAAGAAAGTGGGAATCCTTCCTCCTTATTTAGTGGCAAGACCATCAGTCCTATGCCTTCTGCTGTCTACCTTCCAGAGATGTTGAGCTATATTTCCCCAAATCAATCATTGGTGGAGTTGTTTTCGGACACACCTGAAGCGTGTCAGGTTAGGAGAGGCAAGTCTAGACTTAAATTATCTATGTTCATGGCACACCTGATAACTTCTCCATGTCTTCCAGTGACTTACCATGGCCACGTCAGCCTGGAAGATCTGCTTGATGAATTTGTTTCTCGAGGAATGAACCAGTTGAATGATGTCTCCATGGAGCGTGTCCCTGTTTTTCTCCAGAAATCCTGCAAGGAAAATGGTTGTAGCATCAGCTGGGCATGGTTGCATACTGTATTTACAGAAAAAATATAGAGATCTTGTCATATAAGAACAATGAAAAATATAAACTATGAGAATTTTCATAAGAACCAACTACAATTCCTCTATTGTGCGCGCATTTTGGAGTTCTCCAGAACTACTAATTGTCAGAAATAGGTATTTTTGAATACAAAAGTGTGAGTCAAGCACTGAAAGGGGCAGTAGGCCAAAACCTGTTAGAGTCAGTGGGCCAAAGCTAGTGTCATCCTAAGGTGTGTGAGCTAAATCTCAGTGTGAGAGAAGCTTAGGTGAGAGAAGCTCCAGGTTGAAGGCCTTGTGTGTAAAGCCTCATGTGTAAAGCTCCAGTATAAAGGCTGCTGTGTGTGAAGGCTACTGTGTAAGTTCGATATGAAAGTGAAACTGTTTATCTGCATGAGGAAGAAGCCCAGCATGGAAGCAAAGAAGGAAGTATGAGGGTTGAATGATAAATAATGCCTCCACCTTTGTTACTTGAGTTTTGGATGGGAATATTTTAATAAATCAAACGCAGAAATAACCCTTAGAATGTGCTCTTTAACTACCACTATACACTTTTCCACATAATCACCAGACAACTGGATATATTTCTGCCAACGATAAACAAGTTTTCTGAGGCTGTCACGGAAGAAGTCGACACTCTGTTTCCACAACCAGCGTTTCACATCTTCATCAGAAACATAATGATGTCCCCACAGATCTTCTTTCATTATCAGATGGAAGTCAGATGGTGGTAAATCTGGACTGTATGGAGGATGCCTTACGATGGTGAGATCCAGTCTCTGAAGTTCTGCAGTGTCCCCATTGTGCACAGATCTTCTGATAGCCAAGCAAAGCAATAATGTGACCCACATGTTCTTGTGAAATGCCAATTATGCTTGAAATTTCTCTCTGAGTGATACGACAATCGTCCTGAATCAATCTGTCAATCTTTTGCTTGTGAAACTTGGTGGTTGCTGTCACAGGATGTCCAACTATGTTTGTCACGCAAGTCAGATGTTCCCACCTCAACATCTTTAAACTTAATCACCCAACAACGCACCATAGTCACATCAACACAATCACCATAAACAGCTTGCATTCTCTGATGAATCTCTTTTGGGGTGACACCTTCTGCTGTCAAGAATTCAGTGACTGCCCGTTGCTTAAGTTGCATTGACCGACCATCTGCGCAGGGTTCCATAATTCACACTTTTACAACACAACCATTCAATGCTAAGGCTTCCTGCCAAAATGGAACTGTAGAGGAGAGTCTACTGAACAAGCCAGTGCCTGCCACATACCAGTACTGCCATCTGTTGAGGAGTTACGAAGGTGGAGGCATTACTTTTCATTCAACCCTCACATTCTCTGATGAATTTCCTTTGGGGTGGCACCTCCTGCTGTCAAGAATTCAATGACTGCATGTTGCTTAAGTTGCATTGACTGACTGTCTGCGCAGGGTTCCATACTTCACATTTTAACAACACAACCATTCAATGCTAAGGCTTCCTGCCAAAATGGAACTGTAGAGGAGAGTCTAATGAACAAGCCAGTGCCTGCCATATACCAGTATTGGTGGAGGCATTACTTTTCATTCAACCCTCATATAAAGGACTTTATTTATGTTGTGGAAATCTTGTAATTGTAAATAGTGCAACTATATAATTTTACGACAAAGAAGAGCCTCCTATGGAAGAGATAACATTGTTCTCTGCGTTTTTGTTCTTTCTATCACTTTGGGGTACTCGTGCTGCTGTCGACAAGTTACTCTGCTGTACATTGATGGGGAGGGTCTTCTGTTAATAAGACCACTTGCCCAACACTAATGAACCATGGAGAGGATGAAGAATGGAAGTTCAATGATTTGGATAAATTGTGAAGCCACAAGATTTTTGTTAATGTGTTTTGAAATGTATAATGTAGATTTCAAAGTATGTGTGTATGTATGTTTAAAAATGCAAATGCTATGTGCTGAGTGTAATTCCTGTGTGGAAAGAGTTAACCGAACCATGAAGGGAATCAGCATTCCTAGAGAAGTCATAAATCTTAGTGCAGAGAGCAGCATAGTGCGCTGTATGTCATACGTCACTCTGGAATGCAGGAGGTGTGGACTAGTACTGATAACAGCGTGTTCTGTGTTTGTGATGTAGCTGCCGGATGGAGAGGAAGCAGTTTTACAATGTGCTACTGTGTATAGCTGTAAATAAAGTAGATTATAGCCTAAAGGTGGCTGTGATGATCGTGTTCCTTGCCTTGCTGTGCGGAGATACCACTGACAATTTTGAGTTGAGTCCTGTCTTAGCTGAAGAGTACAGATTTGACACCAAACAGTGTCTGCAGAGATGAAGACATCTCAGTAGAGATATAACTAAGTTGCTACCAACTTTGTATTTCCAAAAAGGAGTATCCACTATTTTATCTCGGGAAATGCATTTGTCCTTCCTCTGAGCCATGGTCCATCAGCTAAGACCTGATCCTGACTTCCATATTGCCTTTCCACCTGCAGGACACTCTTGCTTACCTTTCGTTTCATAGTACACAACTCCAGCGAAGTGGTTGATGCCAAACTGGGTTTCATAGTTGTTCCTGGGTGGGATGTAGTTGGTATTCAGCTTATGTTGGGAGTTTAGTTTGTTCAGCATCGTGGCATCTGTTCCCTGCACCAACGAAACAAAGTGGACATACTGCATGAAGAAACAGTTTCCTATCTTGGAAGTGTAATTCTGCTTCAAGCATAGAAGTACTGAAAAATTATTAAAATATGTAGAAGTTTTGCTGATATACAGTTGACTTTCCACATTTGTGAGTTTAACTTTTGTGGATTTGATTAATGTGTTATCTTTAGGAATCTCTAGGTCCTCCAGGTCAACTTCTGGCAGAAGTTTTTGTGAAAATTATGGTTCAATCTGTGGATGCCGAATTGATGGACACGGAGGGTGCAACTGTACACTATTCCACTATTATTCAATTTTAACTGCCATCACTTTAACTATGGATTTCTGGGGCTTATAGTTTAGTGAGGCCCAAGATTTCTCTATATAGCCAAGAATTGTAATGGCTCCTCCCTAAACTGGAAATTTTAACAACAGTGTAGTGTTACAGGGTCCTAACATAATTAAGTAAATGTTTCCCCTGACATTAAGTCTAGTTATGTCCGACTCTGGGCATTCGTGCTCATCTCCATTTCAAAACCAAAGAGCCAATGTTGTCCATAGACAACTCCAAGGTCATGTGGCCAGCATGACTGCATGGAGTGCAATTACCTTCCCACAGAAGCGGTACCTACTGATCTCACATTTGCATGTTTTTGAACTGCTAGGTTGGCAGAAGCTAGGGCTAACAGCGGGAGCTCACTCTGCTCCCTGGAATCGAACCAGCAACCTTTCGGTCAGCAATTTCAGCAGCTCAGCGGTTAACTCACTGAGCCACCAGGAGGTGCCCTAGCATAATTACCCTTTCGGAAATGTTAGTCTGCTATACAATATTTAACTACAATAGATTATTCCGGCCTTCCCTGCAATGCTGGAAATACAATGTGATGCCGATATATATACATATATACACATACACACACACACACACACACACACATATATAGGATGCAGTCCAACAACTATTGATGCCCGAAACTATAATAATAATAATAATAATAATAATTATTATTATTATTATTATTATTACCCGCCTCTCCTGGTGGTTCAAGGTGTGGTACAACAAAGTCGAAAAACATATGAACATAAAAACATATCCAATTTTTTTGTCGTGTCAGGAGCTACTTGAGAAACTGCAAGTCGCTTCTGGTGTGAGAGAATTGGCCGTCTGCAAGGACATTGCCCAGGGGACGCCCAGATGAGGCTTCTCTCATGTCCCCGCATGAGGAGCAGGAGCTGATAGAGGGAGCTCATCTGCCTCTCCCCGGATTTGAACCTGCGACCTGTCGGTCTTCAGTCCTGCCAGCACAGGGGTTTAACCCACTGCACCAGGCTCTAACATATGCAATAAATTACATAAACAAAAAAAAAACACAAATATATATAGATTTGACATATAGTAGTAATAGAATGTAAATAAAACTTCTGATTGAAAGTTGACTGGTAGAAAATAGAAAATAGTGGGGCCCACATCTTGACTATGCTTGGATTGGAAGCGTATCATGAAATTGCACCAGAGAACCCAGTGGATCCATAAACAATTCCAAGTGGGGGCAATACTTTTTGGTTAAGTGAAATATCGAATCTGTGGATAAGGGGTCCAAACTGGATCACTCTTGAGGACAAAAGGCCCACCTTAGGAAACTTGCTCTCTTCATCGATGAGAGAGATGATGTTCATGGGCTTGATGGCGATCATGTCCAGCGCATCTTGGTTATCCGTGAACTCAATATGCTGCCAGTTGATGTTCTCCAGGTTGTACTCCTCTTGTTCCAGCTTGAAGACGTGGCGGACAAAGAACTGCTGGAGGTTCTCATTTGCAAAGTTAATGCAGAGCTGCTCAAAACTGGAGAGGGAGAAAAGGAAGACCATGTTGTTTTCTACCCCCCAGGTATTTTTTTAATGTTATAATAAGAGACCACATGGACCATCCAGTCCAACCCCTTGCCATGCAGGAAAAGCACAAAGTACCCCCAACAGATGGCCATCCAGCCTCTGTTTAAAAGATTCCAAAGAAGGAGCCTTCACTACACTCCGAGGCAGAGAGTTCCACTGCTGAACAGCTCTTACAGTTAAAAAGTTCTTCCTAATGTTCAGATGGAATCTCCTTTCCTGTAAACCACAATGCCACACTAGCTCTATTCCACGCAATACAAAGAACATGAACTGGGATTGCAACATAGATGATCCATACTTTCATTGCTGAAATCACTGGGTTGTTGTAGGTTTTTCGGGCTATATGGCCATGTTCTAGAAGCACTCTCTCCTGACATTTCGCCTGCATCTATGACAAACCTCTGAGGATGCTTGCCATAGATGCAGGTGAAATGTTAGGAGAGAATGTTTCTAGAACATAGCCATATAGCCCGAAAAACCTACAACATCCCAGCGATCCATACTTTGTTTTTTAACACGATTGTGAGGTCCAAAACTCTCGGCAACACAAAACTGATAGATTCATCCATCTCTCGGAGCAACATGTCAACATTTCTATTAATCTCCCCCACTCTATAACATCTGAATGTGGAGGGCATTTGTGGGTAAACTCCTAGATTCATGAAAGTGTATCACACAAGAGTTGGAGGAAATATGTCATGGAATAGGATGTCAGATGGAAAACTTTGGATTAAGCCACAGAGCACATTTAAAACAACAGTCGAAATGTCCTGCAACCATCACCTAGGGCCCTTTACCTGTTTACAGTGAAATTCTCAAACCCAAAGATATCGAGGAGTCCGATGGATCTCCGGACACTTTTGTGTTCCTGGGAAGGAGGTCTGTAAATGGCAGCGTTGATCTTCTCCACGATCCACACAAAAAGCCTTCCGTAGATTCCCTGGAAACATTTAAGGGTTGGAAAGACATTTCAGAGATCAGATCAACCAAAAAGCTATTTCCTTTCGTTTGTTCCAGAAGTCCCAGTTTCTGTCCACAACATTCCTGCTCAGGTCTTTTAAGACTCATCTACACTGCCATACAATCCAGTTCCTGATCCCAGATTATTTGTTTTGGATTATCTGGCAGATTTTTATCATGTCAGAAGATACTGTAAGTTACTTCTGGTGTGAGAGAATTGGCTGTCTACAAAGACGCTGCCAAGGGGACACTTGGAAGTGTTAGCTGTAGGGCTGGTTGATCAAGAAAAAATTTGGTTCTAAAATCGATTTGTAATTGGGGTGTTTTTTTGTTTCGATATTTAAAATAATTACAAAATTTCCCCCCTACAATCCGTTAATATTTACGAAAATTTCGTAAATATTAACGAATCGATTCGTTAAGATGGCGGACCCCCGCGCGCATGCGCAAAACATTTCCGAAGCTTACGTTATTGCCGCGGGGTCGATTCGTTAAGGGGGCTCCCTCAACTTGCTTCTAAACAAGGGGGATGGACTGGATGACCTTTGGGGGTCCCCACTGGGAGTTGAACTCCAAAGCCCTTAGAGGAGGAGGAGGAAGAGGAGGAGGAGTTTGGGAGTCCTTGGTGAAGATCAGAGGATGCTTGACATGGGAGGGAGGAGGGGAAAGGGGAGAAGGAGGGAGGGAGGCAAGGAGGAGGGTGGCCTTGGCTGCAGGGGAGCCTGCACCATGGAAGAAGGGGGCATGATCCAAGGGAGAAGATGCTCAGAGGAGGATGGATGCGTGGATGCGTGGATGGAGGGAGGATGGAGGCAGGTAGGCAGGCAGGCAAGCGGGTGTTTCCCTCCTTCCCGCTCTCACCGGTCTCCTGCTCCCCGAGGAAGGCATCCTCCTCCTTGCGGGAGCGGAGGCAGCTCTCCGAGCCCCCTCCTCCTCCTCCTCCTGCCGCCGCCGCCTCCTCCTCGGGCAGCCGGGGAAAGCTGGTGATGCTCATGTAATCCACGGGCGAGTAGGCGCCCAGGCTGCTCTGCTGGCTCGCCTCCTTCTCGGCCGCCGCAGCCGCGGCTGCAGCAGTCGCTGCGCTGCTCGCCATCCTTCTGCCGGGAAGGGAAAGCCAAGCCAAGCAAGCAAGCAAGGAGGCAAAGCGCGCTCGCGGGGGAGGGGCGGGGCAAAGAGAAAGGGGCGCCGGAGCGCCGGATTGGCTCCCAGGCACCAGCAGCATCCTCCATCCAATTTCCGAAACGGGCGGAAACTCGTTAAAAGGATGGGGGATGCCGCTTCGTTATTTTTAAACCCTTCCGGGTTTAAAAAAGTGTTTTGTTATCGTTTCGTAAATGCAAAAAATAACGAATGTTTAACGAATTACGAAATTAACGAACGAAACCGCACAGGCCTAGTTAGCTGGGAGGCTTCTCTCATAGAATCAAAGAATCAAAGAGTTGGAAGAGACCTCCTGGGCCATCCAGTCCAACCCCATTCTGCCAAGAAGCAGGAATATTGCATTCAAATCACCCCTGACAGATGGCCATCCAGCCCCTGTTTAAAAGCTTCCAAAGAAGGAGCTTCCACCACACTCCGGGGCAGAGAGTTCCACTGCTGAACGGCTCTCACAGTCAGGAAGTTCTTCCTCATGTTCAGATGGAATCTCCTCTTATAGTTTGAAGCCATTGCTTCGCATCCTAGTCTCCAGGGAAGCAGAAAACAAGCTTGCTCCCTCCTCCCTGTGGCTTCCTCTCACATATTTATACATGTCCTCGCAAGCTAGAGCTGACAGACAGGAGCTCACCCCATCTCGCAGATTCGAACCAGCAACCTTTAGGACAGCAACCCAACCTTCAAGTCAAGAGTTCAGTTGGCACAAGAGTTTAACCCACTGTGCCACTGCGGCTCCAATCTGGCAGTAAGGTAAAGGTAAACATAAAGGTTGTCCCTTGACATTAAGTCCAGTCATGTCCGACTCTGGGGGTTGGGGCTCATCTCTATTTCTAAGCCAAAGAGCCCGCATTGTCCGTAGACACCTCCAAGGTCATGTGGCCAGCATGACTGCATAGAGCACCGTTACCTTCCCACCAGAGCGGTACTTATTGAGCTACTCATATTTGCATGTTTTTGAACTGCTGGGGCTGACAGCAGGAGCTCACGCCACTCCCTGGATTCGAACCTGCGACCTTTCCATCAACAAGCTCAGCAGCTCAGCGGTTTAACCCACTGCGCAATCTGGCAGTTTAGACTCATATATGCCAGTTCAAAGCTGATAATCTGGGATCATATACTGGATTATATGGCATTCTAGATCCAGCCTCAGACTTAGGACAGTTTCCTTGCTTGCATCTATCCATTTGGAATGGGTTAACTTTGTTATACACTTGTAAATAGCTAATGTAGAATATTAGTGATATATTTTTTTTCAAAATAACGAGTGGACAGGATTGCTGTAAGTTTTTCGGACTGTATGGCCATGTTCCAGAAGCATTCTCTCCTGACGTTTTGCCTGCATCTATGACAGTGGACATTTGGCTATTTTTTAAAATTGGTTTTTAATTTTGAAAAAAGAAACCTACAATCATACAAACAAACAAAACATATGCAAAGAAAGAAATTACATCAGACAAAAGGATGAGATCCTTCTCATATTTCTTGTTCTGTTTTGGCTGCAATCAGAAAGTCCACACATTCTTCAGAGGGTTCCAGGAACAAAGACTAGCCCTGTATCCATCACTACAGTGAGGTGTTAAAGAAAGAAGAAGAACTAGCAAAACAGAAGAAAAGAGAAGGCGATGCTCCAGGCTTTACCTTGACAAAGGCATCCCTCACATCCAATGCCTGTTCCATGCTGAGCGGGGTGGAGACGGTCTCTCCCCTTGTGATAATAGTCCGGCTGGTGAGACAGTTCATCAAGTCCTGAGGTTCCACCTGGATGCAAAGCGGACAAGAAAAAAAGAAAAGCAGCATATATATGTTGGAAACAGAAATAAATAAATACAGGTTGAGTGAAACTGAAGCTTTATTGCCTATCCTTGTTTCCACAATGAGCCATGCAGTCATGCCAGCCACATGACCTAGGAGGTGTCTATGGACAATGCTGGCTCTTCGACTTAGAAATGGAGATGAACACCAACCCCCAGAGTCTGACACAACTGGACTTAATGTCAGGGGAAAACCTTTACCTTTACTATTGAATTGCTGTTGCATTTTTAAACTTGTTTTATTAAGTTATGTATTTATTTCTTGGCATTGAATACCTGCCTTTTAAGGTGTTATCCACTCTGAGTCCCCTATGGGGAGGTGGGGCAGGATACCAATAAAGATGATTATGATGATGATGATTAGATACACAAGAAGATTTGTACACAGCTAACAAGATCACTATGCTGGCTTTTGTATTTGATTACACATTGGACGCTTCCCAAGTGTCTAGGACTGTGTGATGTATCATCGAATAATGTGTGCAGATCCCAGTAGGGTGGCCTTTTGCAGCTGACAGATGGTAATTTTGTCAGTGCCGATTGTTTTTAAGTACTGGCCAAGGTCTTTAGGCACTGCACCCAGTGTGCTGATCACCACTGGGACCACCTTGACTGCTTTGTGCCAGAGTCTTTGCAGTTCTGTCTTTAAATCCTTGTATCGTGTAAGCTTTTCCAGTTGCTTCTTGTCAATTCTGCAGTCGCCTGGGATTGCAACATCGACGATCCATACTTTGTATTCTCGAGGGCTTTCACAGCTGGAATCTTTGGGTTGTTGTAGGTTTTTTGGGCTATATGGGCATCTTCTAGAAGCACTCCCTCCTGAAATTTCACCTGAGGATGCTTGCCATAGATGCAGGTGAAACGTCAGGAAAGAATGCTTCTAGAACATGGCCATATAGCCCGAAAAACCTACAACATCCCAGCGATCTATACTTTGTTTTTTAACATGATTGTGAGGTCAGGACTCTTGTGCTCCAAAACTCTGAATTCGGAAGTCCCAGAGTAGCTTGATGTGTTCATTTTTTGTAACTTTTTCCGGTTTGTGATCCCACCAGTTCTTTGTCACGGTCAGATGGTATTCGTGGCACAGGAAGCAATGAATCATCTAAGCAACGATGTTATGCCTCTGCTTGTAATCTGTCTGCGCGATCTTCTTGCAGCAGCTGAGGATGTGATCCATCGTTTCGTCTGTTTCCTTGCAGAGTCTACACTTGGGATCTGTCATCAACTTTTCAATTCTGGCTTTGATGGCATTTGCTCTAATGGCTTGTTCTTGGGTTGCCAGAATCAGGTCCTCCATCTCTTTTTTTCAACATTCCATTTGTGAACCAAATCCATGTTTTTTCCATGTCAGTTTTGCTGACAGGAACTGTCCATTGAGAGCCTTCTTTCGCCAGTTTTCTCTTCTGCTCTGCATTGTATTTTTATGGTAGTCACACTTTTGTCTTTTGCACTATAAGCAGTTTTCTACTATTGACTTCCATTAATGTTGGTTCGTGACTGCCTTTCGCATAATCTGCCAGTGCATGTTTCTTCTTCTTCTATCCTCTTCTTCCTCCTCATCCTCTTCTTCTTTTTCTTCTTACCTGTTTTGACTTACATACAAATCCAACTTAAGAACAAACCCCTTATGAACCATCTAGGACATTAAGATCGTCTGAGGAGGCCCTGCTCTCGACTCCGCCTGCATCACAGATACATTTGGCGGGGACGAGAGACAGGGCCTTCTTAGTGGTGGCCCCTCAGCTATGGAACGCCCTTCCTAGGAACATTAGATCGGCCCCCTCCCTTTTAACATTGAGAAAAAAAAGTCAAAACCTGGCTGTTTGAGGAAGCATTTGAAAAAGCAGTGTAACAGACATAGAATTATGGAACAATTGGATAATGAGATCGGATTACGTTTTTATCTAGGAGATGAAAATGATTTGTTTTACTAACTTGTTATGATCTTATATGATATGTCAATGTTTTTAAATGTTTTAAATGCTTTTATGATGTTGTTGGGCATTGAATTGTTGCCTTGTGAACCGGCTCGAGTCGTCTGTGGGCTGAGAGGGGCGATATATGTAAATATAGCAAATAAATAGTAAATAAATAAATCTACATAACCTATCTTGTTCGTAACTTGGGGACTGTATAGGCATAGCTTGAAAGTAATAGTATTGATTATACTTTTAATCATTTTCTGCAAGACCATTGGAAGCAAAGGTGTCATTCTCTCAGTCACCCAGATGGACAATTTTGAAGTATTCTAAATTTTTGATATTGGATAAGGGAGGCTCAACCCATGTAAACAAAGGAGTGTGCGGTCTAATTCTGTGCAGCTGTCACTCTCACTAATAACAGGTGGTCAGTTGCTGTGGCAATGCACTAAAATAGGAACAAGAATCAGATCTAATCATGCTTAAGGAAATTAAAATATCTGTACAAAAGTACGCATGAGTCTGAAGCTCCTCAGAAGAAGGCTAGCATCACTGGTCCACAATAAGGCCATGCAAAGGTTGTGAAAGAAGACAAGGGATAGAGAAAGCCACCTAACCTCCAGCAATGAAGCAGCTGTAATCAGCGAAGCAGAGTGAACAACTTCACAGGCATCCAGGTTGTCATAGGACCGGGCTGTAAAAGAGAACAGAAATCACTGGCATAGGAATGAAAGCAAGATACAAATACTCTCCATAAATAATATCTCTACTTCAGGCAAGGACTTGTCATATATAGAAGAGCATTCCATCAAGATATTTTCCTACCTGCAGCAGGAAATGGGAATCATTTATGAGGGTTGAATGAAAAGTAATGCCTTCACCTTCGTCACTTTGTTTTTGGATGGGAATATTTTAATAAAATAATCCTTACAATGTGTTCTTTAACGACCACTATTCACTTTGCGACATAATCACCAGACAATTGGATACATTTCTGCCAACAACGAAAAAATTTTCTGAAGYCGTCACGGAAGAAGTCAACACTCTGTTTCCGCAACCCATTGTGCACAGATCTTCCATTAGCCAAGCAAAGCAATAATGTGACCCACACGTTCTTGTGAAATGCCAATTATGCTTGAAATTTCTCTCTGAGTGATACGACAATTGTCCTGAATCAATCTGTCAAACTTTTGTTTGTGAAACTCAGTGGTTGCTGTCACAGGATGTCCAACTCTTTGTTTGTCACGCAAGTCAGATGTTCCCACTTCAACATCTTGAAACTTACTCACCCAATGACACACGGTACTCAACACAATCACCATAAACAGCTTGCCTTCTTGGATGAATCTCCTTTGGGATGACAYCTTCYGCTGTCAAGAATTCAATGACTGCACGTTGCTTAAGTCATATTGACTGACTGTCTGCACAGGGTTCCATACTTCGCACTTCARCAACACAACTGTTCAATGCTAAGGCTTCCTACCAAAATGGAACTGTAGAGGAGAGTCTACTGAACAAGCCAATACCTGATGCATACCAGTACTGCCATCTGTTCAGTAGTTATGAAGATGGAAGCATTACTTTTCATTCAACCCTTGTCGTAAACAAACCACACATATATATTGCTAGGTGTTCCTTACTTGTCCATGCAGCGAGTAGCACAACTTGGAAAAGTTTCTTTTGGATTACAGGTTTCAGAATCTGGAATTGTGAGATTCCAAACAAGATACGTTTGCAAGCTCAGGAATAAAGTTTCAGGAGCAACTGCGATGGGGATTAACATTTCCAACAAATATATGGAGTTTCGTGCCACTTTGTCATATTTAGCCAACTTACAAATGTCCTAATGTGGCACCCTCCCAAGATGTTGGATCAGCTCTTCCATCATCCCTAGCCAGCATGGCTTGAAGATAATAGGAACTGTAGTCTACCACAGTGGGAGAAAGTATAGCATATGTGGCATTCAAAAACCTAGCAGATAAAAGCTTGCTTTATGGTCCCATCTACACTGATATATAACGTAGTTTGAAATTGCTCAAATAGTATAGTTTGATAAACTGCATTATATGTGTCTGTTCTGACCATATAATGCAGTTTCAAAGTGTATTATAGGGCTGTGTAGATGGGACCTGTGACTTCTTCCATTCTTTAAAGTACTCTCAACTCTCTTTGGGAGTATATGCACTGTAGAAGAAATGCAGTTTTGACACCACTTTAACTGCCATGGCTCAGTACTATCAAATCCTTGGATTTGTAGTTTGGTGAGGCACTAGCACTTCTTGGAAGACACTGCAAAATTACAACTCTCAGGATTACATAGCATTGAGCCATGTCAGTCAAAGGGGTGTTAAACTGCATTGGTTATATAGTGTAGATCAGTGTTTCTCAACCTTCCTAATGCCGCGACCCCTTAATACAGTTCCTCATGTTGTGGTGACCCCCAACCATAACATCATTTTCATTGCAACTTCATAACTGTAATTTTGCTACTGTTATGAATTGTAATATCTGAGATGAAGGATGTTGTTTCATTCACTGGACCAAATTTGGCACAAATGCCCAATACACCCAAATTCAAATACTGGTGGGTTTGGGTGGGTGGATGGGGGATTGAGTCTGTCATTTGGGAGTTGTAGTTGCTGAGATTCATAGTTCACCTGCAATCAAAGAGCATTCTGAACTCTACCAACTATGGAATTGAACCAATTGCACACAGAATTCCAATGATCAACAGAAAATACTGGAAGGGTTTGGTGGGCATTGACCTTGAGTTTGGGACTTGTAGTTCACCTATATCCAGAGAGCACTGTGGATTCAAATAATGATGGATCTGGACCAAACTTGGCATGAATAATAGGTCCAAATATATGCCACCGGTGGAGTTTGGAGGAAAATAGACATTGACATTTGAGAGTTCTAGTTGCTGGGATTTATAGTTCAAGCAAAGAGCATTCTGAACCCCACCAACGATAAAATTGGGCCAAACTCCCCACAGAGAACCCTCATGACCAACAGAAAATTCTGTGTTTTCTGATGGCCTTTGGTGACTCCTCTGACACCCCCTTGTAACCCCCCCCCCAGGGGTCCTGACCCCCAGGTTGAGAAACGCTGGTGTAGATGCACTCTGAGTACACCCTGCAATGACTCGTTTCCTTACTTCACACAGTAATAACTTACATTCAAGGTGTGCAAACTGCATTCATTCAACAATGTAGACACACCCTTAGATAAACTGCATTGATTCAAAGAATGTATTCTAGCAAGCGCATTGTTATGTCATTAGCTCTATTTATAAAAGAAGCCCATAAACATGGTTTGTTCTATTGTAACTTTAACAGCAGCTAATTCTGTTTGTTTTATCATAGAATCATAGACTTCTAGAGTTCGAAGAGACGTGGTGGGCCATGCAATCCAACCACATTCTTCCAAGAAGCAGGAAAATTTCATTCAAAGCACCCCCGACAGATGGCCATCCAGCCTCTGCTTAAAAGCCTCCAAAGAAGGAACCTCCACCAAACTTTGGGGCAGAGAGTTCCACTGCTGAACAGCTCTCATTTAGGAAGTTTATCTTCATGTTCAGGTGAAATCTCCTTTCCTGTAGATTGAAGCCATTGTTCCATTGTGTCCTAGTCTCCAGGGCAGCAGAAAACAAGCTTGCTCCCTCCTCCCTAGGACTTCCCCACACATATTTATCCATGGCACTCATTATGTCTCCTCTCAGCCTTCTCTTTGACAGGCTAAACATGCCCAGATCTTTAAGTCGATCCTCAAGGGGCTTATTCTCCAGACCCTTGGTCAATAGAATTGCCCTCCTCTGAACACATTCCAGCTTGTCAACATCTCCCTTCAATTGTGGTGCCCGGAATTGGACACAATATTCCAGGTGTGGTCTAACCAAAGCAGAATAGAGGGGTAGCGTGACTTCCCTAGATCTAGACACTAGGCTCCTATTGATGCAGGCCAAAATCCCATTGGCTTTTTTTGCCGCCACATCACATTGTTGGCTCATGTTTAACTTGTTGTCCACGAGGACTCCAAGATCTTTTTCACACATACTGCTCCCAACAAGTTTGGCTCCCCACTGGCCAGAAAGGTATGATTCCTGGTCTCTTCCCCACCATCACCATCCAACAGAGAAGCAGGCCTCTGTCTTTGGGGTACTACCTTCATACCGCAAGTTCCCCATATGCAGAATGGCGGCCAGGAGCTTGGAGATCTCCCAGTTCTCCGTGTCGGTGAACATGAGGACTTTCATCGCTGCTCTGATGTTTGAGTACTCCTTGCTGTCGTCTCTGCCATCACAAGTAATACAGTTACCCTAGTGGGAAAACACAGTGCACAAATTGTTACCAGAGGTTTGAAAATATATTGTCGAAAGCTTTCATGGCTGGAATCACTGGGTTGTTGGAGTTTTTTGGGCTGTATGGCCATGTTCCAAGGCTTTCATGGCTGGAATCACTGGGTTGCTGGAGTTTTTTTGGCCTGTATGGCCATGTGCCAGCAGCATTCTCTACTAACATTTCACCTGCATCTGTGGCTGGTATCCTCAAAGGTTTTGTTGACAGTGAGGCAAGTGGACTAGTGAGATTAGAAAGAGGATTGAGGTCTATCTATATAAATAAAAATATAACATTCGTTTGTGGGATTAACAGAACTCAATAATCACTGTATGAATTGACACCAAATTTGGACACAAGACACCTAACAACCCAATGTATGTCCTTCACTCAAAAAAATGATTTTGTCATTTGGGAATTGTAGTTGCTGGGATTTATAGTTCACCTACAATCAAAGAGCATTCTGAACCCCACCAACGATGGAATTGAACCAAACTTGGTACACAGTTCTCCCATGACCAATAGAAAATACTGGAAGGGTTTGGTAGGCAGTGTCCTTTGGTTTTGGAGTTATAGTTCACCTACATCCAGAGATCACTGCGGACTCAAACAGTGATGGATCTGGACCAAACTCTACATGAATGCTCAATATGCCCAAATGTGAACAATGGTGGAGTTTGGGGAAAATAGAATCTTGACATTCGGGAGTTGTTGTTGCTGGGATTTATAGTTCACCTACAATCACAGAGCATTCTGAACCCCACCAATGATAGAATTGGACCAAACCTCCCACACAGAACCCCCATGACCACCAGAGTGGGCCACAGTAATGCGTGGCAGGGGATGGCTAGTCTATATAAATAAAAATATAATGTTTGTTTGTGGGATTAACATAACTCAAAAACCACTGGGCGAATTAACACCAAATTTGAAAACAATACACCTATCATGCCAACAAGTGACCATCACTCACACAAAAAAATTGAAAAACACAGCAGAAAATACTTTAAAAGTCAAAAAACAAAAAATACATAACAATGCATGTGCAAATAACATATATACACAAACACACACATATACACAAATATATACACATTTATATGGATATATACACACCCAAATACATATAGCCAGAAAGGGGGAGGGAAAGAAAGAATGAATGAATGAAGGAAGGAAGGAAGGAAGGAAGGAAGGAGAGAGAGAAGGAAGGAAAGAAAGAAAGGTAGAGAAGGAAGGAAGGAAGGAAGGAAAGAAGGAGAGAAGGAAATAAAAAAGTGAAAGAAGGAAGGCAAGAGAGGGAAGGAAGGAGAGAAGGAACGAAAGAGAGGAAGAGGGAGGGAAGGAAGGAAAGAGCAAAGGAAGGGAGTAAAGAAACATGTAGAGAAAGGAAGAAAGAAGAAGGGAAAGAAAAAGAGGGAAGAAAGGAGAGARAAAAAGGAGGAGAGAAAGAGGGAGGGAAGATTGGCCACAGCAACACATGGCGGGTACAGCTAGTCTATATAAATAAAAATATAATGTTAGTTTGTGGGATTAACATAACTCAAAAACCACCRGACGAATTGACATCAAATGTGGACACAATACACCTATCAGGCCAACAAGTGACCATCACTCATAAAAACACCRAAAAACACAGCAGAAGAGACTTAGAAAGCAAAAAAAAAATTACAATGCATGCACAAAACCACATATATACACATATACACAAATATATATACACRCAAAACACATATACACAGGCTGGGCCACAGCAATGCATGGCTGGGGATGGCTAGTAGGTTTAATGAAAATGACTAAAAATATTTTAATTAATAAAGAAGTTAAATGAAAAATCGAATCTTGAACTCTTTAATTCAAAGAGAGGACAAATAGACCTCCTTCGCACCATACGACAATACTGAACAAATCCGAATGAGAAAATCCCATGATAATGATAAGCTCACTTTAAGGTAGCTATGGATTAGAAACGACTTGAAGGCGCATAACAACAAGAAGGCATGATCTAACTATCATCTCCTGGCATTCACCATTGAGAGGTAGATATAGTCGGCTGCTTTCCTAAGTCCCAACATCTTCTTCTGCTCCAGCGTCATTCCTTTCAACATGCAGTAAAACACGTGGTAGTTCCTCTCGTCTTGAGCCTGGAAAGAAGACAGACAAGAGATCTATTTCTATCTTCTTCATAACAACATAAGTTAGAACAATGTACTTGGCAACCATGAGGCCTGAGTATCGGCCACCTCTGAGTGATGGGGATGTGCAAAGACCATACATTGCATCCAGCAAGCTAGAAACCAATAACACTATGTAACGTGATTTTTGTTCCTGGGAAGGGCATTCTGAAACACATTTTGCTATCGTTTATTTATTTACAGCATTTATATTTCGCCCTTCTCACCCCACAGGGGACTCAGGGCAGATTACAATGCACATATACATGGCAAACATTCAATGCCATAGGCATACAACATATATAGACAGACACACATAGGCAATTTAACATTCCAGCTTTCTGGCTTCATAAGGGTATGCTTGATTCCAGCCACAGGGGGAGCTGCCGCTTCACTGTCCACTTGTGACGCCGAGTCCTTAATGGAGTACTTCCTCATTCTTACACACACTGCTGGAAGGTTTTATGGTGTTGTACATTAGTTAAATTAGCCTCCTCGCATAAAGCAGTACCTACATTTCCTACTTGACAGGTGCAACTGTCTTTTGGGTTGCACAGGTCAACAGCAAGCTAGACTATTAATGGTCGGGACCTCACTCTGACCCGGGCTGGCTTCAAACTCATGACCTCTCAGTCAGTAGTGATTTAATGCAGCTGGCTACTAACTAGCTGCACCACAGCCCAGTCCCGGTCATAGTTTTCAATGAATATTTGATAGTCTCAACTAATTAAACATAGTTTTTGCAGTCATAAAAATAAAGTTTCTGGAGTAGAATAACTACTTTCAAAGTAAAGACCATACAATTAAACAGGAAACAACACTTTCAAACCAGGAACAGAACATTTTGTTATGTAATGTATTTATTTATTTATTTTTATCCCACTTTTCTTCCAAATAAGACTCAAAGTGGTGAATTCAATGCTTAACAACAACAACAACAACAACAACAACATAGTGATCTTATTTGCTGTATACTAATATTGTTGTGTATTTAGTAATGATGATGATGATATTTCCTACCTGCCTCTCCTTGTGGGTCGAGGCAGGTTACAACACAGCTAAAAACACATAATCATTAACTAAAATGCACATATTAAAATGTATTTCTGCAAAAAAATTCTCTTCACTGAATCTGCAATACCACCAAATAACTGCAAAGGTACCCACCAGGAAATAATAATAATGATGATGATAATAATAATAATAATATTTATACCCCACTTTATCTCTCCCGCAGGAGATTCAAAGCGACTTAACCTAAAAGTATCAGCACACAATTAAAAATATGCAAACATTAAAACAGGATTAAATATAAGCAGTATTAAATATAAGCAGTATTCTTCCTTTATCTTTTGATTTGTGTACCACCATAACTCACTTTTGTAACACTTTAGTGGACTTTTTTTTCGTGTCAGGAGCGACTTGAGAAACTGCAAGTCGCTTCTGGTCTGAGAGAATTATTCATCTACAAGGATGTTGTCCAGGGAACGCCCGGATGTTTTACCAGCTTCTCTCATGTCCCTGCATGGGAAGCTGGAGTTGACAGATTGGAGCTCACCCTGCTCCCCAGATTCGAGCCACCGACCTTCTGGTAAGCACAAGGGTTTAACCCAGCACAAGGGTTTAACCCATTACGCCACCAGAGGCTCCTTTTAGTGGACCTAGTATCTCAGTTTCACAAATATTTGAGTAATCACTACTTTGCCTAGAAAACATTTATTTATTTATTTATTTATTTATTTATTTATTTAGGACATTTATATGCCACCCTTCTCACCCTGAAGGGGATTCACAGTGGCCTATAAGATATATATACATTACATACAATATATTATATTATTAGCATAGTACAATATCAGTATTAAATATTACTATATTGTATTGTAATATTATTAGTAATATTTGTCAGTGTGTAATTCATGTATGATGTGTGTTTAAATGTAATTTTATGTAATAGGATGGTGATTGTAATAGAATTGTATTGCCAGGATGTAGTTTGACACAGAAGGATTAAACAGCAAAGGAACAAGCTGTGAGAATGTGACCCTGAGTTCTTGCTCTGTGAAAGATTAGGGAGTGCCAGAGATAAACTTCCTTCCAGCTGCAGTTTGTATTAGTTGCTATCTCTTTCGGTTTATGTTCTTCACTTATTTATTTATTTATTTACTGCATTTGTTGACCGCCGTTCTCAGCCCTAGGGCGACTCACAGCGGTGTACAACAATAAAAACAGTTTACAATAGGAGAATATCACAACAATAATATCAACATAACTATCAAAATACAATTACACTAAATCATCCGCGCCGTCTCATCGTAGAATCATAAACCAATCTCGTTATCCATATTCCGTTCCAGTCATCATTGCCAATTGTTGTAGCACTTAGTCAAACGCCTTCTCAAATAACCATGTCTTTAGTCTTTTGCGGAATGTCATAAGGGAGGGCGCCTGTCTGATGTCTACAGGGAGGGTGCTCCACAGCCGGGGGGCCACCACCGAGAAGGCCCTATCCCTCGTCCCCGCCAGGCGTGCCTGTGAGGCAGGCGGGATCGAGAGAAGGGCCTCCCCAGACGATCTCAAGGTCCTCGTGGGCTCATAGGCCGAGATGCGGTCAGAAAGGTATTTTGGGCCGGAACCGTTTAGGGCTTTGTAGGCCAACACCAGCACCTTGAATTGGGCCCGGTAGCAGATCGGCAGCCAGTGGAGCTGGTACAACAAGGGCGTTGTGTGCTCCCTGCGTCCCGCTCCTGTTAGTAACATGGCTGCCGCGCGCTGGACTAGCTGGAGCTTCCGGGCCGTCTTCAAGGGCAGCCCCACGTAGAGAGCGTTGCAGTAGTCAAGGCGGGATGTGACCAGAGCGTGTACTACCGTGGCCAAGTCAGACTTCCCGAGGTACGGGCGCAGCTGGCGCACGAGCCTGAGCTGTGCAAATGCTCCCCTGGTCACCGCTGAAACCTGGGATCCAGGCTCAACGATGAATCCAGGATCACACCCAAGCTGCGAACCTGCGCCTTCAAGGGGAGTGCGACCCCATCCAGCACAGGCTGTAACCCTATACCCTGTTCGGCCTTGCGACTGACCAGGAGTACCTCTGTCTTGTCTGGATTTAATTTCAATTTGTTCGCCCTCATTCAGACCATTACAGCGGCCAGGCACCGGTTCAGGACCTCGACAGCCTCCTTAGTAGCAGGTGGAAAGGAGTGACAGAGTTGGACATCATCTGCGTACAGATGACACCGCACCCCGAAACTCCGGATGATCTCACCCAGCGGCTTCATGTAGATGTTAAACAGCATGGGGGACAGTATAGAGCCCTGTGGAACCCCACAAGTCAAAGGCTGTGGTGTTGAACAGGTGTCCCCCAATAACACCTTCTGGGTGCGGCCCTCCAGAAATGACCGGAGCCACTGCAGAACAGTGCCCCCGAGACCCATTTCCGCAAGGCGCCCCAGAAGGATACCGTGGTCGACGGTATCGAAGGCCGCTGAGAGGTCCAGGAGCACCAACAGGGACACACTCCCCCTGTCTAGCTCCCGGCGCAGATCATCCACTAAGGCGACCAAGACCGTCTCAGTTCCATGTCCCGGTCTGAAACCAGACTGTGCCGAATCCAGATAATCCGTGTCTCTCAAGAATACCTGGAGTTGTGAGGCCACCACGCTTTCCATGACTTTGCCCAAAAAGGGGAGATTGGAAACAGGCCGAAAGTTGTCAAATTTAGTGGGGTCCAGTGATGGTTTCTTCAACAGCGGTTTTATAATAGCTTGTTTTAAGCTCGCTGGAATCTTGCCTTCCCGAAGGGAGGCGTTAACCACCACCGTTACCCACTCAGCCAATCCTCCTCTGGCTTCCTTCAGAAGCCAGGATGGGCAGGGGTCTAGGATGGACGTGGTGGGCCTCATTCCTCCAAGTATCTTGTCCACATCCTCGGGCTTCACAAATTGAAAAGAATCCATCAAAATGGGACAAGCAGGTGCTCGTGTCACATCCTCAGAGACTGCATTTAACATGGTGTCCAGCCCAGAACGGATCAAAGCGACTTTGTCTGCAAAGAACCGAGCAAATGCTTTGCAGCGCGTGGCCGAATTGTCAGGGCTCCTGCCTGAGGTGACGGGAGTTAAAAGACCTCTGACTATCCGGAACAACTCCGCCGGACGGTTCCTTGTAGACGCAATAGTGGCCGCAAAGAAAGTTTTCTTTGCGGCTTTATTGCCGCGGCATATGCCCTTAAAAAGGACACAAACCGTGTTCGATTTGACTCGCTCGGATCCGAACGCCCCACGCTCTCTAGTTCCCTCTTCCTTCGCTTCATCACTGCCAGCTCCTCAGTAAACCAAGGAGCTGGTTTAGCTCGGCTACTTGAGAGGGGACGTTCCGGAGCGATCATGTCAATTGCCCTGGCCATCTCTCCATTCCAGAGAGCGACCAAGGCCTCGACATGGTCACCTACTGATAGTGTATGTTGTCTATTTTGAGCTGTTTAAGTAAAGTTGAAAACCTGCTTTTACCGGAGACTCCAGAGTCCATTATTCTGAGCTTCTGCGATACTCTGCTACACGTCAACAATATTAAAGGTAATATAAATATATAATTATAATATCATATTATTATTAGCATTGTATTACATTACATCACAATATTATACATACTGTAATAATTACAAGAATATAACTACAAAGACATGGAATTGTAGAGGTGAAGGGTGCAGAAAATCGCTCTAGAGAACGCTCATCCGCTCTTTGAACTGTGAATGAAAATGATATCAAAATGCTGTAACTGTATAGTGTGGATGCATCATATCTCTCTTTTCCACTTGGGTTCTCAGCGCAGAACATCTTGGTCATATCAGTGGAATGGATGCTATGTGTATTGTGATTAGTCACGAGCTTACATTATGCAGCCATGATAGACATGTGTAATTAAGGATGTCACACTGAGGAAGGGGCCAACCTTCTTTTCTGTTTGGATTAATAGATCCAAATTGTAGAAAAAGAAATCCCACCAAATATTAGAAGAACTTCCTGTTCAACAGCGGAATATTGATTGTTCCTCGGAGTGTGGTGAACCCTCCATCATTGGAGGTTTTGAAATAGTGGTTGGATGGCCATCTGTTAGGAGTGAAAGGCCCTTGCGGTCTCTTCTAACTCTAGGATTCAATGTATATGGACTTTATACATTTGGCAACCTGAACATCCTCACCTGTCGGCAAACACGGGATTTCTCCAGAAGGTACTGCTCGATCTTGGCTCCCTCGATGGCACCCCGTTTGTTGAAATGGATGTCAATGTATTTACCAAACCGGCTGGAGTTGTCATTGCGAATCGTTTTTGCGTTCCCAAAAGCTGCCGGTCCACAAAAGAAGACAGTGTTAACCAATCCATCCCTCAAATGTTTTTCAGAAATGGTTTTAAGTAGAGTTGTCTCCAAAGTGAAGGAATCTGAGTTGGCTTTCCCATTAGATGTATTTGAACTGTGTAAAAGCCAGGGAGCCATTATCCCCTACCAGAGCCCCCAAAAGCAAGCCCCAGCACTTTTTGCCACTTCTGGTTATCAAGAAAACCCTATGATATGTTTGCCTATATCAGTGGTTACCGACCTGTGGATCACAGTGGTCCACAAGAATGAAGATATGGCCCAGGGCCTCACCATTACTACACTGTTGTCTCAAAACCACACAGCAACTGGTCTCATGAAATCCTCTTAGAGTGCCGAGGCAATGGGATGTCAGAAGAGGAAACTACCCACAAAAAGATTACTACTCCCACATCAGCTCTAGATTATTAAATACGGTTTTCTGTGGACAAGCAGATGGCGACTACTGGATGGCATATGTTCTGTATCAGAAACTAGAGCTGATGTGGTCTATCCAATGTGATTTTCTGAATCAGCATCCCAAATAACCAAACTGAATTTTAAGATGACAGAAAACCGATTTGTAAGTCTTTTGGTACTAATGTTGGAGAGCGGTCCCTTGAAAAGTGGTCCCTGGTCAAGTGATCCCTGGTCAAAGTCGCCCCTGTTCAATTGGTCCCTGGTCAAGTGATTCTTGGTCAAGTGGTCCCTGATCAAGTGGTCCCTGGTCAAAGTCATCCCTGTTCAAGTGGTCCCTGGTCAAGTGGTCCCTGTTCAAGTGATCCCTGGTCTAATGGTCCCTGGTCAAGTGGTCCCTGTTCAACTGGTCCCTGGTCAAAGTGGTCCCTGTTCAAGTGTTCCCTGGTCAAGTGTTCCCTGGTCAAAGTGGTGCCTATTCAAAGTGGTTCCTGTTCAAGTGGTCCCTGATCAAGTGATCCCTAGTCAAAGTGTTCCCTGGTCAAAGTGGTCCCTGATCAAAGTGGTCCCTGATCAAGTGTTCCCTGGTCAAAGTGGTCTCTGGTCAAAGTGATCCCTGGTCTAATGGTCCCTGGTCAAGTGGTCCCTGGTCAAGTGGTCCCTGGTGAAGTGATTCTTGGTCAAGTGATCCCTGGTCAAGTGTTCCCTGGTCAAAGTGATCCCTGGTCTAATGGTCCCTGGTCAACTGGTCCCTGGTGAAGTGATTCTTGGTCAAGTGGTCCCTGTTAAAGTGATCCCTGGTCTAATGGTCCCTGCTCAAGTGGTCCCTGGTCAAGTGGTCCCTGGTCAAAGTGGTCCTTGGTAAAAAAAAAAAAAGGTTGGGAACTACTGGACTATATAAAGGCACACAATGACAACAACAATAAGGAGCCTTTAGGGAGTTTGACATAGGCTTCTAGGGCCACAGAAGTATAGTCGGGGGCCTGTAATTTGTTCTGTCCTGATTGAAACAAAGTTTGGATCTGTCAGTAATGTTGTCAGGAATGTTATAGCAACAGATTCCTGCAATGTCCAGAGATTGGAATATAGAGCCTTTAAGTTCCCTTCCACCTCGATATTCACCTTCGAGAATGGGATTGGCTTCCAACACTTGTTGCTCGATCCAAGAGTGCTGCCCACTGATTGCGGCCAGAAACTGTAGAATGAGCTTGGTGCTTTCGGTCTTCCCTGCTCCTGACTCACCGCTGTGACAACAGAAAGAAACAGAAGTGGGTAAATTGTCACCAAGAAGAAGGACAAGAATGTTTCAGCCAACTGTTTCAATAAGTCAATGTTTCTCCACAATAATAATATATACAACATAAGGATGGTTAAGAATTTCAGTTCACCGATCCACTTTAGTTGGAACTAATAAGAAGATTTATGTTGACACGTTTCTAAGAATTGTATCACATGAAGCTGAAAAAATCACAACTAAAAGTCCTCCTGGATGGAACTTACTGCAAAAGAGCTGTTCAACAATGGAACTCTCTGCCTCGGAGTGTGGTGAAAGCTCCTTGCTTGAAGGCTTTTAAACAGAGACTGGATGGCCGTCTGTTGGGGGTGCTTTGATTGTCCATTTCCCGTGTGGCAAAGGGGGTTGGACTGGATGGTCCTTTGTGGTCCCTTCCAATTCTGTGATTTTATTGTTCTAACCCTACAAACCAGGTGCGAAATTCATCTACTCACCTTATAATGCAACACTGATCTCTGTTGTTTCTTTGCATGTTGAAGTAGCAATTGTCTGCAATGGCAAAGATGTGGGGTGGCATCTCCCCGATCTTTTTGTTGGTGTAGAGGCGTATCTGTTCTGGTGAGTAGATTGGGAGGAGCTGATAAGGGTTCACAGCCACTAATATCGAGCCTGTGTATGTCTAGAGAGAAAGAGAGAGAAAAATAAGCATGCACTAATATACACAAGAACAGAATCACAGAGGATCTCCCCAACTTCAAGAAACAGCTGAAGACATATCTTTGTTCATTGGCTTATGAGGAGGAGGAATAGATGATAATACTACCATTATACCTCTGATTAATAGTTGCCATCGATATCCGTGTCCTGTTTTCTCCACCAACTCAATAACCCTCTTGAGCAATGATCAATCTTATTTGCCCCCAAGGAACTGGGAAATTGACACTTCTGTTTGATGTTTGATATCTGATTTTTTGTTTCATGTCTGATATAATAGGTTGTGTTTTTAATTTCATTTTAGTTGTTAAGTTATAATTTGCTTTTATATGTTGGTTTGTCAATTTTTGTAATTATGGGTGTATTATTATTATGTTTAGGCATTGAATGTTTGCCTTTTTGGTTTGGAAACTGCCCCGAGGCCCTCCAGGGAGATAGTGCAGAATATAAAACTTATTATTATTATTATTATTATTATTATTATTATTATTATTATTTTACTGACACAAAAGCACAGCATGTCACAGCAAATGATGTATATATATACTGAATTTCGTATCAAAAAATCACAAGTCGAACACTTCCCAAGCGTCTAGGACTGTATGATGTATTTTTGAATGATGTGTGCAGAGCCAAGTAAGGTGGCCTTTTGCAATAATAATAATAATAATAATAATAATAATAATAATAATAATAAACACAACAAGATGAGTCCACAGCAGACACTCTGCTGGTTGTTGTATGGGATCACACATTGGACATTTCCCAAGGGTCTAGGACTGTGTGATGTATCGGCGAATAATGTGTGCAGATCCCAGTAGGGTGGCCTTTTGCAGCTAGCAGATGGTAATTTTGTCAGCACCGATTGTGTTTAAGTGCAGGCCATGGTCTTTAGGCACTGCACCCAGTGTGCCGATCAGCACTGGGACCACCTTGATTGGCTTGTGCCAGAGTCTTTGCATTATTATTATTATTATTATTATTATTATTATTATTATTATTCACTCACTGGAACACCTCAGCAAGCGAGTCCAAAAGTGGCAGCACCTCAATCCGTGTGTGATATCAGATGAGAGACTCCCCCCTGGGCACACAGAAGACTGGGCGACTTGGAAGGCGCTGAACAGACTGCGCTCTGGCACCACGAGATGCAGAGCCAACCTCAAGAAATGGGGCTACAAAGTGGAATCCACGACATGCGAGTGCGGAGAAGAGCAAACCTGCTTCAATGCACCCTGAGCCCTGCTACATGCACAATGGAGGACCTTCTTGCAGCAACACCAGAGGCACTCCAAGTGTGGCCAGATACTGGTCAAAGGACATTTAATCAACTACCATGTTTGCAAAATTTGTGCTTTTTTATCTGTTTGTTTGTTTTGTTCTGTTAGAAATGTAATACAATGGTATGGTTGCTGATACCACGATAAATAAATAAATAAATAATTATTATAAATACTTTCGCATTGAAAATGCTGGTTTCCTACTCAAAAAGTCATGTGTAATTTTTCACAGAACAAATCCCGAAGGATGAAGATTCTCGCCAGTCCTGGATCAAATTAGAACTGGATTATCATGATATTCCAACAGTTTTTTTGGCATATTTTTCAAAGATCCATCCTTAAATGCCAGTTAGTGTTTCATGGTCACCACATTCCAAGAGTGAAAGAAGTCATTGTTTGAAGAATATACTTACTGATTTTCAGAGTATAAAAATACCACTTTTTGTTCTCATAATTTCCAGACATCTTGACTGGACAATTCCAAAGAAAATCTAGTCTAAAAAGTAACTTTACCAGAAACCGGATATTCTGTGCACCCACAAAGTAGAACTTGGTTTGGAGAACAAGCAAGCCACAAAACAGAATCCTGAACTTTTATGCATGCAACATTGAACTGTGCACATATATATTAAGCCATTCAATGACCAGATGACACTTATTAAAATGGGAACAAAACTTTAGCAGTATCTTCATGGTGTAGTTTAGGCTGTTTGCTATCTCTCAGGCCTGTGCTTTTGGCAAAGCTGTGCAGCAAAAAAATTGAAAATGAAGCTCAAACAAATGAGTTCATGCGACAAAGCAGCCAAGTGAAAAATGCTCGGTGTCCACCAATGGCGAAGCAGACGACAATGTGAATAATATTGCATGGTTGTGAAGATGAGATCATTTAGCAGTTTGATAGGTAATACTTACCCTCCCACCACAGTTAGTCTAAAATTTTGAACGGGAGGCAGAAGAAGGGGGAAAAGGTTATTGACAGATCCCAATCCTGTTCTCCGAGACAAAGGCACATGAAGGTCTCTTAGGAGAGAGATGGCCACACACCATTCTTCTCATACTCAAAAGGTGAACCCTTCATTTAGCTTCCAAAACAAACACCAAATAGATGAACCCATGGAAGACAGTGAAAGGACAGGTTACACAGGGCAACCAGGAGATACATTTATAATTTGCTAAATAAATGTAACCTCACTACTTCTGAGGATGCTTGCCATAGATGCAGGCGAAACGTCAGGAGAAATGCCTCTAGAACATGGCCCTATAGCCCGAAAAAACCCACAAGAACCAAATGTAACCACAACCCCACATCCAGAAAGCCTGCTAAACCTTTATGTTGCTCATCTTGGTTTAGAGTACAATCAACCCTTCACAATCCTTCACATTTTGTGGGGTTAGGGATACACAAGGGATGACTATAATTACAGTGCTCTACGTTGGAGCATGTAAGAAATCAGTTGGTGAGTGTGTTAACTGTAAAATGCAAAGCACAAAGCTGATTGGTTGGGCCACGCCGGGGAGCTAGCTGAGCCTGGGAGTTTTGGCAACAGTTACATATTTAAGCTTGAGCTGTTCAGGTGCTTACAGAGAGAGAGAGAGAGAGAGAGAGAGATCTTGCTTCATGAGCTGCTGGAAGGAGATATTCCGCATGGACACTGAAAGACCATTTATATATCTCTCAAAAGGACATTGTTGTTGGAACTCAGCCTGTGATTGAACCTGAGCCTGTGCTTGAACCTGTGAATGTGTTTCAGTCTCCTGATGTTTCTGTGTCTGATGTGGGTAATGAGGAGGGAAGTCAGTCCCCTGTTGCTTCTGATGTGGGCGATGCTGGGACTGACTCTGAAGTGCAAGATGGAGACACCTTGGTCAATAAGTTTCATGATGACACTGACAGAGAGGAGTATGCGGTGCAAAGGTACCGGGCTCAATTCAAAGTGCTGGCTTTAGCCTATAAAGCCCTAAACGGTTCCAGCCCAGCCTACCTATCCGAACGCATCTCTTCCTACGAACCCTCCAGGAAGTTAAGATCATCTGAGGAGGCCCTGCTCTCGATCCCGTCTGCTTCGCAAGCACGCTTGGCGGGGACGAGAGACAGGGCCTTCTCTGTGGTGGCCCCTCGGCTGTGGAACTCCCTGCCTAGGGATATTAGATCAGCCCCCTCCCTCCTGACTTTTCGGAAGAGAGTAAAAACCTGGCTCTTCGAGCAAGCATTCGGAACCCCGGAATAAATAGTCAAGCTTGAGATGGAGAATGACCCAGGAATGGCCAAGACGATGAAACGGATGAGGATTGGAATGAGAGGATATAGCTCTTTTTAAATTGTTATTTATTGTTTTTGTCTAAATGCACTTAACTGTTTTTGTTTTTTGAATGTATGTATTGATGGCATCGAATTGTGCCGATATGTAGACCGCCCTGAGTCGCCTCCGGGCTGATATTGGTGGGATATAAATAATGTAAATAAATAAATAAATAAATAAATAAATAAATAAAGGGCAGATTCTCATGAGAATACTTCTGTCAGGCATTGGGAGAAAGGTTTACTCCCTTCGTCTGTGAGCTTTCCAGATTCTAGTTTGGAAAACAGTCTGACACCTGCTAAAGTTAATGAGGAGTCAGATAAGCAGAGTCGGCGGCTGAAGATTAGCCAGAATCAACAAGAGGCCCAATGTTTACATAGATCCGAAAGAATTCATCAATTAAAGTCAAAGTCTGGGGGAAAGCGAAACCAGTTTTTGGGATTTAAGGTTTGTCTGTAGAAAATCTTGTTAGATCAGGCATCATTTGGAAACCAACTATAAGCCTCATGGAATCCCTGTTCAAGTGGTCTCGTCTTCATTGATTTTTCTAGCTTTTTAACATGACTAGCAGCGTCTGGTCTGTTCTTGCTTCTTGTTTGATTCCTGTCTGGATATCATTGCCTTGGATTATAATTTCATGTTTTTTGGACATTGTTTTTGATTGCTACGTTAAGACACTGTTTTATCTGGCTGCCTTTGAATGCCTTATTGCTTTTTGGAACCTCATCTATCTTTACAAACATTTATTTCTACTGGATTTTTTTTTTTGCTAAGCTTTAATAAAAAGGATTGTTCCTTTACTCAACGTGTGGTGCGTTTATAGTCAGAGGGGCTAGTTACTGTTCTGGAGTGCAACAATTGTATAAGTCAGTTCAACTAATGTCATGATTGTAAATATGTTCCGCTGCATTATGAAGAGTAAACTTCTTGTTCTTTATTGATTATCTGAATGGCATTTTCCCCCCTCTGGCATGTGATTTACATTACACCACACTCTACCTGTTGTTCAGGTAATGTCTTCTGTCCATAGCTATATCCCCATCCTGGCTTCTCTGTGCATGTATGTGATGTGTTGGTCCACCTATGTACTCACATGTGCAAGGGTGAATAAACTTTGTGGCATAGTGCTGACAGAGGTTAGGGTTGAATATGAAGAACTATCAGAGAGGACAAGAAAGACAATAAAAGAGAGGTGTGGGCAACTGAGCTGGAGATTAATGCAAGGTACATTTAGGACACTACATGTTGCAAAAGTTTAAAACTACTAAATAAGCAATTGTTTTCCTCATATTGCCAACCTCTGCTGGAAGCTGAAGATAGAATTGCATTGAGGGACTTAGAGATGTCTAGAGCAGATGTGTTAAGTTGTTAACTGTTTTTTACAC